TCCCCGCATCCACTTCATAACATACGCAAAGAAAATAAGAACTGCTAGGGTTGAACGCCTACACATAGACCCACTACCCACACGATCCAGCGCTTCGCGTGTGTTTGTAAACGCGCCAACACACTTCCTGCTCCCGGCAGACCCTGAATGCTCCCATAAAGCTGATTAGATTTAGGAGTTGGACTCCGATATCCACAGCATGTTGCACTGATATGTTGGCTTCACGCCTTCTCATTGTTGCCATTAGCCGCTCGGTGTCCTCCTAACTGCTGCACTAATTCTCTCTCTACTTCGGCGCGTCTCTGTTCAACCCAACATACATACTACGCCCGCAGAAACCGAGTGCTAGGCAGACGCGAAATACTACAACCATGCTATCCCTAAACACGCTGACACCATTTGCAAACGGCAGGATGCAATTTCTGAACAGGTGTGGCTATTTACAATACGACCGGTCAGCTTCCAGTGAAGCACGTGAAGGCGTCCCACAAATTAGAAACTCGATTTACGCCACACGCTCATACAGTCAACGGACTAACCACCTGCATAATGAACAGAAAAGCATTACATCCATCTTGCGATCACTGAATCCCAATGTTCTGCAGACGTTCTGACGTTCAAGGAAATGCAATTGCCTACCCAGCAGCAACCGCTGAGAACATCAGTCGATACCCCCCGGCTTAAACAATGTGCATTTCCAAAGACCGCCCCCCTCTCTACATGGCACTAGCTGCAAAGAGCCAAAACAGTCTTTTGCCTTAACTTAATTCTACGAAAACACACAGAGGTCGTTGCTGCGAAATTCAAAGTGGGCGTCGCCACCTACTTTCTAGAGATACAAGGACGCCGTTATTTGCAGAGAGTGTAACCACCCCTTACCTGCGCAATCTCGGCGCTCTGGCCAGTGCACAAATAGACATTCTCGCAAATATCAGGAATACGTTCAATTCGTTTGCTCAGAAGGACACCCGAACAATAACGTCACAGCATCGAGGTTGCCAAGAGTTGAACCGGCGCAAGCAAGTAACTTAAGGAGCCGTACAATACGTGGAGTCAGATCAGTGCTCGTCACGCCTTGAGTGTCTTGGCATTCCTCCCGAGAGGACGTTTCGCAAATCGTGCTACTGTAATGTCGAAACGCTCTCAAATAGACTGCCTGCAAGCACATGCGGGAGATAATCCCATGAGACACACCTGCGAATCATGTTGTGCACAAGGCAACCTTCTAGCTACAGGTACATCTGCCAAAGCGCACAAGCTTTTCACATGGATAATATGCTAGTGAACACCGTCAACGTCGCGAGGTTGAAGCCGCCTGGTATGCTATAATCACACACACGGGAGTCCCGATCAACCGCCATGCCTCAGTAGTTGATACTGGCTTCTAATCAGTTTTATTAGCTTTGTCAAAGCACGTTTACAGGCCTCTATAATGGGTGCAACTTGATACTTCAGGTTGCGTTAACTTTGGCTAAAGGTGGTGGGGTAGCTACGATTCCAGGTGAACAAACCATGTTCTGGCGTACTAAGCAGCTTCATGAGCAGAATACTCGCATTCTATACGCAAACAGTACTATTATCCTACAGTGTCAGAAACACGGCACAGTGGGAACACTGGCTAATACGCTAACATACTTCCTGCATACAGGCCACGGATCAAAACGGCCGATCATAGAGGCTGCAATCTTTCCCAGCAGAAGCAGCTTCAACAAAGCTAACGCATAAACTTCAAACCACCATCAGTGTGCAATAACCCCCATTCCCCCAAACGATTTCACCCTCGCACTACACTCCTTTTGAAGTGAATGGGTTTCGCTACCACAAGGAGCAAACACAGAACTGCTGCGTGAAGACCTTCTCTACTCCAAGCAAAACCAAAACGCTAATCCGTCTTGCTGCAATGGACGACCCGCTACCGTATATCCTACAAATGGAGCCACATGCGTCCTGAGCTCACCAATTCCAACCTTCTTTGCCACCGCAGAACCTCGTGAACAAACAGCGAACCCGTGATGCACAATGCTCATCCTACACAATATAGCGCATTCAGGAAGGAATGCAAGCAACATTTCGAATGCCACCAGACGAAGAAAACAACACTTCTAGCATCGGATCGCAAACACTCAAAACGTCCACGCATCGGCCGCCCATCCCCGCATGCAGCTCACAACATAACACAACATCATAGTAGCTGCTAGGGGCGAACACCCGCGCTTCGCTCCTACACCCCACAACATCCAGCGCTTCGCGTGTGTTTGTAAATGGGCAAACACATTGCCTGCTCCAGGCAGCACCTTAAGGCTCCATAAAGCTTATTGGGCTTAGGAGCACGAGCCAGATACCTAAGGCATATTGCACTGATATGGTGACTTCACAAGGGGTATAGCTGGCGCTTAGCTTGTGCAGAAGCAAATTCACTAGATGCATGTATATCTGACAAAGTCCCCGACTTTCTCACATGGGCAATATGCTGAAGATCACCGTAAAACGTCTGAACTAATAAACACCTGGGGTCACAAGCAAACACAAGGGGGTCTCCACGAACCGTCATGTTTCACGAATTGCTGCTCGCTTGAAATCAGTTTGGTGCGCTTGCTCAATCCACTTCTGCATGCCTTTATAATGGGTGCAAATTGCTTATTTGTGATGGATACTACTGTGGATTAATGCGGCGAAATCGCTGGGATTCCATATGAACAAATCGCGTCCTATAAGACCAAGCAACTCTGCGACCTGAATTGTCGCATTTTATGTCGCAAAATGTACTATTGCACACAAGGGACAGAAACGCAGCATGGCAAGTACGCTAGCTGATCAACTCAGCACACTTCACACCACTCAATACCACGACACCAGAAAGGCCTCTAGCCATCCAGGCTCTCTACGAACCTAAGCACAATCAATAGCGGATTCAAAAGACTCGTGCTCAGCAAGATAGGTATACACATACATGCAACACACGACGACCTTCCCCTGCCAGGTCCATCGCTATAAGCCCAATGACACACTGGTGCATTTGCATACACCACGAAACCCTTTAATGCTGTAATGCACATTCTCTGTCGATGATTATTCTACTCCCCACTGGCATCACCCGTGCTCCCCTTCAACCACAACACACGACATCATATTTAGCCTCACCTAACTCACAAACAAACTGGTAGACTGCTAGCCGAAGGCCACACTCGCAACCACTGTCCACATTTGGCTTCTCTTAAATCGCAAAAAGACGAAGTGTCAATTTAATTTTGAAAAAAAAATTGTTGAAAGCCCCAGCTAATATCATTCCACTCTTACATCACTTCGTCAAGTTTTAGAATCCTTCATAAAAGTATACCTGCACTGTTCCCTGCTCCAGCTGTTTCACGACGTTGCAAACAAAGTTCAGCCAGAGGTAATCGGAGTTATTGCGACCATTTGCATTTGCCATAGTCAAACACACCAACCTCAAGGTAGTGCATGTGTTGTGCGAAGTTGTGCAGGCACTCGTACTTTCAAAGGGCCAGACCTTGAGATGGCAGCCACGATGGCAAGAAGTCCGATTAGTAGTGCTCCGCGTAGAAAAATTATCTCGTGTTCTTTGCGAATAGGTAGGCCGTAAATATCCCAGCTTCCGCTCTGTACCGATTGCTTCTGTTCCGCGACATCCGCCTCATCGAGTTCAGCAACATTAGCTGTCGAACTGGCAGATTTTGCATTAGAAGCTAATAGTAACACAAGCAGAAATGCCAGTGAAACAAGAACCGTGAATTTTTTCATCTTCAGGAGTGAGCGAGACGCACATACAAACGTCCACCCCGTATATTTTGCGTTTGGAGAAAACTACTGGCTAGAATGATTTTCAAGCATGCCCCCTTCCAAACTTGGTTCAGTGGTCAAGCAGTGGTCGGCTTCGCGCATGAAAAAACAGGGCATCCTGTAGTGCACAGGCACTACAATAGGGCTCTGGTAAGGTCCCTAGCAGCTTAGTAGTCATAGAAGGAAGGATTTCGCATTGAAAACTAAGAAAAGGAATTAATACTGCTAGATGTTCTAAGAATCGACTACCATAGAAAGGGCCATAGGTCAGCAGGACTACCGACGCCCGCAGCCACTCAACCACTCGGATACCAGGTAGGCTCCTTTACAGATCTAATTGGATAGGTGATAGATTTATTACTATTCAGGTGTATTATGTCTATAATTACTAGTTTGGTGGAGCTCTAGGTCAGGCTCCTAACCGTTCCGCCACCACTGATATTAACCCCGCCTTCCTGTATGCTGGCACTGACACCCAGCTAGGACCGGGGTCAATCCGCAACAGTCTTTTAATTCTGCGAACCGCATCATTATTACAGACACTCAAAAAATGATTTGTTATCCGTTGCGTTGGCTTCGAGGGGGTTTGGTAGTTATGGGTTACACTTAGGGAGTAGGGTACTACTCGACGGCTAAGTAGGCGCGACCTAGGACGGCCGCGCACTACACTTCCTGTAGTGCGCAGCGGTCCTACGTATCTCATCTCTTGGCACTGGGAGACTACTCTTCGTTGGCTAACCACGCTCGTTACCTCTAATCAGTAATTAAATCAATATGGTACTAGATATCACACCAGAGACACATTGTAGTGCCCGTGCACTACAACTTCCCCCCTTCTCAGACTGATTCGGCTTCCCCCACTATTACATCGACCCCCTAAAGTCCACTTCGTGTTATGTATTCCAGTCCTTTGACCTATAGCGACCGCATGAAGCCACCGTAAGCTCCCTACTAAACTGAAATATCTCACGTAACCTACGGTGTGGCTCTCTTCAGACCTTATCACTAATGCTACTACTACTATGCGGCTCTTATCGCTACCCTTGTGAAACTTACTTCAGATACCACTTGAGACCTGCTCACTCCCTCTATATTAGTTTACCATTATCCTCATTCTATTTGTGTGCTGCATGACCATAGAATTACTAACCATTACGGAAGGGAGTGAAATGCCCCTATACTAGCCATGATGTGCAAATGTACTAGAGATACTGACCAGTACGGAAAAGCTTGGAAGGCACATACAAGGGGCCCTTGCACCCTCTGCCACCCAGCCCGCTCCTCGGGGGTGCCTTTCCACTTAGCAAGGTAACGTGCTTTGTCTCCAGTCCCCTGCTGATCGAGTATGTAATCCGCAAGAACTGGTCAGTAGGTTTGCGTGCTTCGTCACGGGTAGGAGGCCAGCCCACGAGAGCTTCCGGCGGAAGTTGAGCCCCCGCTCGGGGGTGATCGGGGACCAGTTGAGGTACATGAAATACGTTGTGTCCCTCATAGGTGGGAGGCAAAGCAAGGCGGTAAGCCACCCTACCGTTACGTTCGCTCACTGTGAAGGGGCCGCGGTACCTAGCTTCGAACTCAGAGCAGTGATTGAGCGCTGGCAAATGTTTACTACTGAGCCAAACTTGATTGCCAAAGTTATACTCCACAGCTCGGCGCTTTGAGTCCGTGTAGTGCTTCTGTCTCCCTGTCACTTGCAGGATGTGGTTCCGTGCCCGACTGCAAATATGACGAAAAAGTTTATTCATCGGCGGGGTGGACGTAGGGGTGAAAGAGCCAAAAATGTGCAGATTGGCTGCGGTTACAGGGTTCTCGCCTATCATTACCTTGGAAGGGGAAAGCTCGGTGAAAGAGTGATACGTATTATTATAAGGTAATTCCAGGGCCAGCAGAAAGCCCTCCCACTGTCATTCGTCCGCTTGTATGTCGGTCCGCAGCATTTGCTCAGGGGAACGATTAACCCTTTCTGTCTGTCCACCAGTCTGCAGGTAGTAGGACGAAGATATCGCCCGTGTAATATTAAATCGGCAGCACAGCTGCGCCCACACTTCTTACTGGAAACCAGGGTCCCCATAGGAGATCAGCACGTCAGGAAATCCCTGATAACGGATGAGCCAGTCGGCGAGTAATTCCACGGTGTCAGCTGTTGAAAGCTGGGTAGGGTTAGGGTTATGGTATAATAAAAAAGCATATTTAATTTATTAAATTCAAATATATCATTTTCTAATAGAGAACTATCCCCTTTATAATTTATTTTGATAAATGAGGTCATTTTTTTTACTATTAATTCAAACAGAATACCTGGTATATTTAATCCATTTTACCCTATAATTTTGAATATATTCAAAAAAATAAATACATAAATACTTTATTACGTGTTTCATGTTTTATTGAATATAATTTTATTATTTTAAAAAGACTTTTAAAATTTATTTTTTTAAAAGAAATTATTATGGTAAATAGAGCTCCAACATTACATAGAATGAATATTCAAACATTTAAACCTTTTCTAATAGAAAATGAAGTTATAAAATTTTCAAACATTTAAACCTTTTTTAATAGAAAATGAAGTTATAAAATTTTTTCCTTTACTTGCTCGTTCTGGGTTTAACGCGGATTTTGATGGGGATACCTTTTTAAGAGAAAATGAAGTTATAAAATTTTCAAACATTTAAACCTTTTTTAATAGAAAATGAAGTTATAAAATTTTTTCCTTTAGCTTGTTCTGGGTTTAACGCGGATTTTGATGGGGATCAAATGGACCCACCTCTAAAAATAGTAGAATTTAAAGTAGAAGAAAAATTATCTTCCAATAATATTATTGTACCTCTATATAAAAATACTAAATATGAAAAATAATTAATAGCTTCGAAAGAAGGAAAACTTTTTGAACGCAAAATTAAAGAATATATTTTTTGCCCCATAATTATTTATTTAAAAAATAATTAATTATTTTAATATTAAATTCGGAAAAAAAATATTTTTTTTTTGAAATATAAAATTTTTTAGTATATATCCAATTTTTTCTTAATTAATATTTATAGGAATATATTTTTACCATATATTGATTTGTAAAATAATTTCCTAAATTAGATATAGAACGATATTCTATTTGATCTAATTCAGTTAAAAAACAATTATTAAAAAAATATATAAGTATATATATGTATTAAATTAAATAATTTATTTTTAAATTTTCTAAATGAATATAGTAAACATTTATTTTCAATTAAAAATAACTTAATAAATCTTTGATTTTTTGATTTTATAAATATAAATTTTTCTTAGCTCCTATAGTTTTTCCTCCTTCTCGTATTGCAAATCTCATTCCTTTTACTAATGCGATAGAATACATTAATGTAACAATTAATCTAACTCTATCTCCTGCGGAACTTTAATTTCATGGCAACGTAAATGTGGTTTATTTAATAAAATATATATTATAAAATACACTTGTTTTTGTCCTTTATGTGGTTCAGAAAATACTACTAATCAAGTAAGAAGATATAGAATAGGTAATATATATTTATATACACGAATTGTACATATTTGATATTTATATGAATTATTACCCTATATATTAAATTTTCCTGGGCGGTGTGCACAAGGGTCGATGACTTATTCACCGCCGTAAGGCTGCCTGACGATTACTAGCGATTCCAGTTTCACATAAAGAAATTGCAATTTATGTTTTTAATGCAGTATCTAATATACCTTTTCTACCCCTCCTGCTTCTGCTATATTTAATATTTTTTGAAACATTTCTATTCCAATTCCAGAAGTTGTTTTTAATATATTAAATCCTAACAGGATCAGGATGGTACAGACAACCCTGGCAAGTAGTAGCAAATCCAGGGGGAGCAATTCTCGGCGACACAACCAGTGCAACACCCTAGGGACAATCTTCGTCATCCCCTAGCACAGCATGTTGGATACCCTGTGGCCGCAGCAACTAGCTGACTCTCCCAGGCACTGAGGAGGGAGGTGAAGCTCCTTCTTGTGTTTATCTCCTGTTGCATTGCTGTAGCCGTTTGGTACGCAGATGCCGACTTGACACTAATATCATGACACGGGCAAGGAAGTGGCCATGGATAATGCCATTCCCACGTCATTAGCATCAGTTATCATCCCGTGGCGGGTTCCATTCGTTTCTTTTACAGTGCAAGGACATGCAATGTTGGCTCGACGACCCCACGCGCAGTGTGCGAATGGCAAATGTGTTATCATATCATTCAAAAAACAGCTTTCTTCTAATGGAGTCTTGAAGCAAAGCAGGATCGACATCTTATTCACGCACCGTCGAAGACTAGTGCACGGTCCATTTGCATGGGGTCGTTCATTCCATCTGCAGTGAGTATGTCCTTGTTCGTGGCAGTTTGCTATCCAGCAAATGCGAAGTAGAGTACAGGCGAAATATATCAGAGGGGGGATACAAGTCCGCTTGCGGGTGTGTGGGGCACCTCACGGCGTTATGCCGAAACTGCGAACTTCCCTACTCATTATTTTTGCCCTAAATGTAGTGGCCTAGGGTTAGGGTTAGGGTTAGGGTTAAGGTTAGGGTTAGGGTTAGGGTTAGGGTTAGGGTTAGGGTTAGGGTTAGGGTTAGGGTTAGGGTTTAGG